AGGAGTGCCAGGGCTCACCTTGCCCATGATGGACAGACTGGCCGCGAAACTGCCATCGATGCTGCTTATGACGACATCTGCGCCAGGCGGTACGATGGCGACAGTCAGCTCAAGTGGATGCTCCGCATCGGAGGCGGCGACCAGACGCAGGCGGTGCATACCCACACCCAGACGCCGATTCTCGGGGATAGTGAAGGTGAGACGACCGTTGGTATCGGTGTTTTCACAGCCCAGGTTCGTCCAGCTGGTGGAACTGCCAAGCGACTGCGGACGGGTAAAGATTTCTACCTGTACGAGAAAACGAAAAAGACGATTAGTAAGAGGAGGGCCATCGTCCGCATTGAGCAACAAATAACACTTAATAAGAAGGTTAGGAACACGTGAAACTTTGAAAAAGCAAAAAAAAATGCAATTGGACAAGGAGTAGAGTAGTCGAATTCAGGCTTGAAAGAGACCACCGTGGTTGACATATGATAAGGCGCGTGCTCGTAGATATGGGTTGGGAGCAAGTCAAGGTATAAAACACAAATGAAGGTAAATAGCGACTTGAGACAAAACTTTAGGGGATGAAGGATTTGTGCGTATCTATAATTGCTTTGGGTAAACATGCGTTAGCAAGTTTTGCTGCTGTCTGCGTGGCGGTTTTGCGGAGTGGTAGACGGTTGCCCGAGAGCCAGATATGGGAACTGCCTCAGGAAAAAATGAAATACAGAGGCCGTGAGTCAACTGTTCTGCAGTATAATTTAATTTGACGATGATTTCACTAGACAACAAAGACAGGTACTAAATAAAAGTCGATACACGTGTTTCACCGATGTATTTCCTGCTGGATGACTCAACTATGTGGGTTTCGGCTCCTCAGTGTATTCCCCACCTCCGGTGATATACGTGAGGCTTACGATTTAAGAACTGCACGCATGAACGCCAAGTTAATAAGTTTGCAGATCATTAAGCGCAGGACTTGGAGTGAAATGCCAGGGAACGACAGTTCAAGGCCAGAGCCGAAATTCCAATAAACATTTCAGTAGAAATTTTTTAACAACTGTGAAATAACCGCATAATATCCATTCGACAAACAAATATTTAAGCAAATAGTATAAATTTGATAGGGGAAAAATTTATTCCGCACTCCCGGCATAGATACTGGCTGAAGGCCAAGGGCGTGTTTCGTCGACGTTTGCTTTGCTGCATGAGACAACTGCGCGGAGTTCAGAGCCCACCGAGAGTCCTATATGGTCCTGA